CATCGGAATTTGAACTATCGACCCGCAGTAAACGATACATTTCCGAAAGAGCAAGAACAGACAGATAGAAAAATCCATTCGCACCAACTGCAGTGAGGTTACTGAACACACTGTGCTACAAATGAAACAGAGAGAGAGAGAGAGAGAGAGAGAGAGAGAGAGTTTTACAGAGCGGGCTGTCCCAGCACGTGAGACATGTATTTACTTGGCCTAATGTCCTGTCTTGTTATCGTTTGCGTGAGTGCACCTTTAAGTCTAACTTTTGTAACGTCTACTGCCATTGTTAACGACAAAGACATATTTCTCCCTGCGAGATGAATAAAGATTGTCATTGTCATTATCATTGTCAAAATACTTGAAATCTCTGTCACGCGTAAAATGGTATTGTTCACAGCACTTTTTGATTACGCATATGGCCTACGTCACAGCTCATCAATGACAATTTTTACTTGCATGTTTTTACACAAATGTTGATCTGTTCAGACAAATTGAATGAAGTCACTGTGCAAAAATTGGAGAACCTCTGTTCGATATTTGAGGGGGTATTTGAAAATAAGTCGCACCACGAATTTTTGACGGCTCTATAGTATTTAAATCTATTGAGGATTTTTCTAGACTACAGCCAATAGGTGTTTTTCAAATTTAATATTGATCTGTTAAGACAAATAATTAATACAAGTCACTGTGATAAAGCTGGAAAGACTATGTTCTATATTTAGTTTAGGAAATATTTGACAATAAGTTACACCACGAATTTTTCCCCGCACTATAGTGAGTGGCCCACGTTGACTTCTTTCCTTACTGTTTCATTTGATTTGTTTTCCGTCTTTTTACAATAACATGTAAGAGATCAATTAAGAACAAGAACGAGAACAAGAACAGGAACAACAACAACAACAGCAACAACAACAGCAACAACAACAGCAACAACAGCAGCAGCAGCAACAACAACAACAACAACAACAACAACAACAACAGCAACACCACCACCACCAACAACAACAACAACAACAACAACAACAACAATCCACTCACTGCCATAACTCCAGTGTTATCCAGGATTGGCTGACTCCCTCCGCCTCCATGTCTGTCGGTTGCTACAGCAGATACGTCAGCAAGAGACGCCAGGGAGAGGTAACAACGTCCAGCTATCTATCGGCGACGAGTCGAACCTTATCGAGTAGCTGTGCCTCTTTTTTCGAACACAGAGTGTTCGAGTGGTGTCGAGTTTGGCATCGAATTCTCGAGGGCGGTTTAAAAAACAAACAAAAAGGAAATGCTATGCAGCATTGAGCTGCTTTCTACATCGAGTGCTCGAATACTCGAGAGCAATACACTAGAAATATCGAGTAGCGCGCAACACTATTCGACAAACAGTTGTGTTATCATGCTGCTAGGTTGTTATCTCAACACTGAGGACGAAAGTGTCGGGGCAATGTTTCAGAAAGGATAACTCTCCGAACGCGTACCGTTTTCCTGTGATAGCAAACGTCAAACTGTAACTTGAGAGGCGATAAGATAAACATTTCTTGTTGTCAACGTTCAAGTTCTCGAGCCAATCGAATATTCACAATAAGTACAGGGTGATAAAAAAAACTGTACACTTTAAAAAAAAATATCTCGTACTAAATTTGTACTAGAATGTTGTAATTTGGAACACAGATAATTCAGTCAAAGGGAACTTGTTTAACATAAAATTTACAAAGAAGAAACTTATTTTGCAAAACAGATATGGCTTTTATAAAAACCACCTATAAAAGCAAAATGCACCAATTTAAAAGACATTGAAAGGAAAGTCATGAAACGACTGGTTTGTAGGGTTTTTCCCTTTATTAAGAAAACAACAACTAATCTTTCATTCCAATAATCTTGAAATATTTCTCTTCTCCTTCGTGAACACATTGCTGTCCACTGATAAAAATATCAAGACAAAAGAACATGATTTAACATTTTAAGATGCTACCAATAACTGTACGTGCCCAAAAATTTACGAGAGCCTGACACCACTGCGTGGTGACAAATGTGTTGCTCCCAGATTCGTGAACCAGTGGTATAACTTCGTGAGCAATCTGTCAAGTATGTTTGAACTGAGTGCCCTTGCATCCATTGTCAGGCTAATTGCAGCTGTTTTCTCAGATTATACGTGTTTTTGTACACATTATCTATCCAGAGACGTCTCCGACGGAGATAGACCAATCAAATTATTGTTTGTGCCTCTGGACAAAGTAGAAAAATATGGGGAGTTACAGGACAGGAGGGAATGCCCCCCTGTTTTAACCCATAGTTTGATATTTTGCAGTTAGGTTTGAAATTTTCTTGAAAATAATTGATTTGCGACAGTTCAGTGGTTATACGTGTGATCTGCAGCAAACAATACGCAGTTTGACCCCCCCCCCCTCCCTAAAGTAGTGCATCTGTGTGCGGCAGTACGTCTCCATATAGTGTCTGCCGTTTGTGTACCCAATCGACACTTTACAAATTAGAGAAATTAGGAGGACGGCTTTCGACCAAGCCAACCAGGCTGAGTGGGACACGGCATCTCAGCAGGAAGACCAAGATAATCCATATAAATTTCTCCCCACTGGGAAAAGAACTCTGGTCTCCTGCGTGCGATTGAGAAGTGCCTAACCGCTACACCACACGCATCGGCACTGCAGTTGTCAAGGTTTGATAGAAATAATTGTATGGATTTCACGCCCCTTTCAAATGTGGAAGTTTATTCAAAACAAACGTAAAGCTTTGAAAAGTTCCCAAACAACTAAAAGAAAAAAACCCAACACTGTTTGGGATTCGAACCAGGATCTTCCGCTCTGTAGCTCAACACTGAAGTTTAAAAAAGTAAAGTTGTTCTCGCATCCGATCCGGACTTTGGGGATTACCTTGTTAGTGAGACAACTTCCTGGGCCTTCGACATATTGTGGTAGGGTGGCCAGTTCCTTTCCACGCCGTCTTTACTTCCCCGATTCGAAGTCAGGTACCCATTACTGCTGGGTGGGCAGGAGGGGGCGGAAACAATCCGTGTCCGGACCGAGGCTCGAACCCGGACTTTCTGCTCCGGAGACTAGCGCACTAACTGCCATTCATAATTTCTAAGAACTAATCTCTGTTGAGACTGTGAAACTGAAAGGCTCTCTCTTAGCCCACGAATACGCCAGACTGCACAGGCTGAGATATAGTACAACTCCGTGTCACAATCCCAGACACTGCGTTCAGCGCTGTGGAGTATTTTAACCCTATCTGTACGTCGTGTTTTACTGTTGTATCCTTACAACATGGGGAACTCTGTGCCACCACTTAACCCTATCCGTACGTTGTGTTTTACTGTCGTATGCATACCACGTGTTGAACTCCGTGCCACCACTTTCCAAAAAGGAAATTTTACTCGTCAATCCGATCCGTACGCTTTGCAAAGCAGTTTGTCAAAATGGATTTTTTTTAAAAATACTGAAAGTTTCAAAGACATCTTCGTACTAGAAGTATTCTAAAATGTGAAGAATACAACCCAGGAGGTACAAAATGACCCCAGGACGTACGCATAGGTGAAACAAAATTCTCGTTTCTGAATGGTGATTCCAGCGTGCAAAGAGGCAGTTGGAGAGACTTCCAGACTCTGTCAGTGTCAGGGAACCACACGTCAAGATAAAATAGGTTACACCTTGTTTTGACAGAGAAACGAGGAAAGTAAAGCAAGTAATGTTTTGTAGAATAAGACGACGAACATGCTTTTTTTATTTTTTTTATTAAAAAAACCAAACGACTTATACGCACCCTTAGACCAAGGGACACAACACCGTAAGATTAGCTTTTCCCATTTAGTATATACAGCAGTTACTTCCCCTAAAATCTTACTGGTAAACTTTTCGTTCATCCAGTGCGTGTTTTGTACTTCCGTTTTTTTGTGTTTTTTTTTTGGGGGGGGGGGGTTGTAATGTAGGCAACACACATACACACATGCAGACACACAAACACACAGACAGGTACAAATACAGAAATGCAACCACACATGGACAAACGTATTTGTTATAGAAAGTGTTTTACGGCACTTGCAATGAAAAGCCAAGTGGAGAGCATAAAGAACAAGGCGAAAAGAAGACTCCAACTTTTAAAGAAACTTGCGAGCAGTTCATGGGGATCAGACAAACAAACTCTGAGAGCTCTATACCTGGGTTATGTCCGATCTTCCCTGGAATACAGCAATAGCCTACGCACCATGTGCAGTACAACTACTTGCAATACCCTTGACAAGGTCCAAAACAATGCCCTTCGTTTCATAAATGGTGGCATGAGATCTACACCTACTGCCGCATGTGAAATTCTATCAAATGTTGAACCCCTGGGAATACGCAGAGATAAAGCAGTTTGGGAGCTTCATGAAAGAACCAAAAGAATGTGCTCCAACCACCCAAACAGGAAATTAGTAGAAACATGGAAACCAAAGAAACGACTTCAACAAAAATCAATCATGCATCACATCACAGAACTAATGAACTAATGGAGAATCACCATCTACCACAAAATAGAAGAGAAACCAAAAGAGTCAACCAAAACATCCCTCCCCACATTTCTATGGAAAAAACAATCATTAAAACTTCTCTCAGAGACAATAGCACAAAATCTTCAGACCCAGTGAAGTTGATGCTTGCATCACATCAAACAATCGACAGCTATTCTGATGACTGGATACACGTCTATACGGACGGCTCAGCATTCAAAGGCACAACCAAAGCCCGGATATGGAATACTAATACACTAACCAGATGGAAGTTCCAATGAGATCTCTGCAGCCTGTGGAGAGAAATGCAGCAACTACGACGCAGAAAAGATAGCAATTGATACAGCACTATACCATCTCCGCACAGTTTTTGACATTCATCCAAACAAAACACAGAGTATAGTGATCTTCACTGACTCACTATCAGTCTTGCAAGCAATAGAAAATGATCACCATCTAAACGAAGACTTGACACATATACTGTTTGGCTCCCTTCACCTGATAGCATCCTGTGGCGTCAACCTGGTGATGCAGTGGATTCCCGGACACTCAAACATACCTGGAAATGACAGAGCAGACACACTCGCCAAAAGGGATCTAGACAGGAACAACCCAACATTCCAACTTCATACCACACTGCAAAACAAATCATTAAAAGCAACAGCAAACAAGATTGGATGAACAGATGGGCCTTGGGAAAGACAGGCAGAGCAGTTTTCAAACATATGACTACAACAAAACGAAATGACAATATCAACCACCTACAGAGAAAGAAACAGACCACGATCTTCCGCCTACGAACAGAACATATACAGCTCAACTTTCACTTGAACAGAATAAACCCGGAACTTCCCCCAATGTGTCCTTTGTGTGACTATGCATATGAGACTGTGGAGCATCACCTGTTCCACTGCACAGCCCTAAATGACATCAGAGCTACCCTTCTCCCTCCGAGACCTAACTTCGACAACACACTCTACGGAACATTACAGCAACTGCAGCAAACCTGCACTTATCACTATATGGCATTGGACAGAAGGGCGAGAGCCCAGATGTTGCTGGATCGATAACAACAACATTGAGGCCCTAGCAATCCATGTCCAGTTGCTGTTTGAGCCGGTGGCGTAAAGCCTTGACGACAATCAATGATTTATTTATAGAGGGACCAGCCATCCATGTCCAGGTGCTGTTTTAGCCTCTTTTTCCTGTCTGCGGGTTAATATTATTTTTTCCCCCCAATTTATTGGTTTCATTTCCATGTACCTCGTATCTATAGTTCTCAACCTGGACATCGCCCATCGATTCCAAACTGGAAGAGTCAAAGTCTGTTTTTCACCGACTTTGATCCAAAATAAAATCCCAATATGTGTCGCATCGTGCGTGGTAAAATCAGGGCTATGAAATCGGAGAAATCGAATTTTCCCGTCTAAATGGCAATTTTTAAAATCAATGTTTGTTGTGTTTTATGCTCAACACCTTTAATGTTCACTCAAAATACATTCCGATATGCCTTTTACTGCAAAACATTGATTGTCACAAAACTTTGGTGGCCATTAAAGTCTCTAATTTTACCTTTGACACCAGGCCTCATTCAATCGCAAATACCTCGACTTCTATTCAAGATAGATGCTACAATGTTCTTTTTTAATTAAAAACAATGCGAACGAACAAGCTTTAGGGCATACTGTTAGGGCTTACGAATTCACCAATCGCGCCATATGCCCCAAAAACTAAGGAGCCCCTCATTCCACCGTGTCGTATCACACTGCACTCTCACACACTGCACTCTCACACACTGCATCCTCACACACTGCATCCTCACACACTGCACTCTCACACACTGCACTCTCACACACTGCACTCTCACACACTGCACTCTCACACACTGCATCCTCACACACTGCACTCTCACACACTGCACTCTCACACACTGCTTCAACAATGTCCGGATTGCTTGCTTTGTGGTCAGTCTTTCGGTCCATTAATTATTTCGTTTGTGAACTATTTTTTTTTCTTGTGTGAATGATTATGTGATTGGTGTAAAGCGCTCACAGCTTACTAGTGTGGAAGAGAGCGCTATATAAATGCAATCTATTATTATTACTTTCATTCTTCTCTTTCCATTTTTGGCTTTCTCTTTAAAAATCAGAATCTTTGCTTACTATCATTGCAAGGATGACAATGCTGCTGTGATGCTGTAGATATTGTTTCTGGCACTGTTGATTAAGGAGTTGATTCAGATATTGTTTCTGGCACTGTTGATTAAGGGAGTTGATTCAGATATTGTTTCTGGCACTGTTGATTAAAGAGTTGATTCAGATATTGTTTCTGGCACTGTTGATTAAGGAGTTGATTCAGATATTGTTGCTGCTACTGTGGGGAAACTACTGATTCAGTGGATAATGCTGTTTGATGTTCGTGTTACTGCTGCAGTTACGGATAATAAAGATTCAAACATAATATTATGTTACAACTGTATCTTTTGTTTTTTGTTTTTTATGTCATTGTTTAGTTTGTTTTGTAGTTTGTGGTTGTGGTAGTGCGGTAGTGGTTGGTAAAAATCGTGAAATTGTAAAGGTTTAACACCTCTTGCAAGACTCTAAGGTAGATAAAAAAGTGATACCTCCGAAGTTAATGTACATCTGCGAGGGGACTGAGCCAAATGGGACAGTTGCTGTAAAGTGTCTTTTCCAAAGACGTCAGTCCGAGTTGAGCTTTGATCCCTCCAGCCCACAATTCCACGATTCCGAGTCTGATAGCTTCACCACTAGATCTATAGTGCATTCAAAAACGTATTGTCAAATATCTCCCCAACAATCAAACATAGATTCTCCTGAACACTGTATTCTAGAAAAGTCCTGAATAAATATCGCTTTTAAAAGAAAGTTTGTAATTTTTTTCTGTTCGAAAATTATGCTTATTAAACCTGTTATGTCTAGGGAATCTTTTGTGCAAAAATGTGTTCACTATAAAATTAATTTATTGTAAGACGTTTTGCCACTAAAAAGTGTCATTGATGAGCTATGACGTAGGCCATATACGTATGCAAAATGTATGCAAGAAGTGGGAAGTGCTGTGAACAATCAATTTTCCGCGCAATGGAGATTTCTAGTGTTTTATATAAATTTATGAAGTAAAGTTTCATAATCGAGCCTCAGCTGTAGTGGAAACATTTCATTAAGTTAAGACAAATTGATACAAACTGCTGTGCAAAGTATGTGTGACACTGATTCTCCCTTTAAAGAGATATTTGAGGATAAGTTGCACCACAAATTGTTGACCGCACTCTAGGCCACCGACGAGGTAGATGGGAACATCGCTCTTGTTGTCGCTGCTACTGTTGGTAAAGCAAACTATTTAGATAAATAACTAGTTATTATTTTCAGTTTTTAAAATCGTGTCATTTCCCAAAGCAAGCAGCGCGACGAAGAAAAAAAAGCAACCTCGACATCTATTCAGTTCTAGAATGGTTGGTGTAGGGTGCTCAGGTGCGGGGTGGGGGTTTTTTGGGGTTTTTTTGGGGGGAGGGGGGTTGCTGGGTTCTTTTTAGGGGGGGGGGGCAACCTCATTTCTGGAAGCGAGGACTTTCTTTTAGATACTAACTACCTGGTCCTCCTTTCGATGAAAGGAATGATCGGTGCATTAACTTCAACTGAAAGTCATTGGCCTACTATATTTACACTCTACTGGAGTGGAGCAATAAATCTTGAGAGATGCAAAAAATTAGAATGTCTAGATCTATGCTCTCAAAACAATATGCGCCTCGCAAAATATCACTTCCGGCACTTCCGTTTTTAGGGACAGCTGCGCAGATTTGTTTCGTTTCTCAGTGGAATAATCACAAAGCCCAAAAAGGGCGGGAACATTTTGTGAAATATTATTATATTTGTCTAAATTCAGGAAATGAATAAATGAAAAATTGGGCTCAGTCATGGAGACCTATTTATCTTTTTTCAGGTACTTGCCAACTTTCAACTCTCTAGCTGTCGTAGTTTTATGGGGAAAATGGCAAACGTGTTTCCAAGTTGTCAAATTTATAATAGATAGAGAGGGTACAACGTAGTATACCATAAGCCGCTCCATTATTATTTGATCGCTTTTAAGCACGAGGGGGTTATCCCGCAAAATGCTGTTTTGAGAAAATCGAAGGTAAATTTTGTGGACCCTTGTTCAGTATCTCTAAAAGACAAGGAAGGTTTCTCTATAACCAAACAAATATACACACCAATGAAACCAAACTTCTCCTATAGGTAGGGCAGTGGCCACTTTTGGTGTTGGTCAGGAATTTTTGAAACCCCCAAAATCTGGGTTAGCCCACTTGTCCTTAAAAGCGACCTAAAAGACGGCACACATTGCGTGTTGTCTGACCGTGTTCCAAAGTCTCGCAAGGAGAGCTAGGAAGGGAGGTAAGTCATAAAAAGAACAGTTCTACTTCTACATCGCTTGTTATTTCCCTTGCCTATTGTTCTGCCGGCACTAGGTTACAACTTCACTAACCTTTGTTGCAGACGGCGTTTCTTATAAGGTTAGACCAAAGAGGTTATAACCCCTGTGTGTCAGACGTAGCTTTTATACAATATCTGGGTTTTTTGGTCTTTTTTTTACCTTTTGTGTTTTACGGCGCTTGCAACTGCATAAAGGTCTTATGAGCGCGCGGGACGCATTAAACTTTTCAGTTGGTAGGAAATGTTGAATTTTGCCCGGGTGGCGGCCGAAGCCTACTCTTATCGATTTTAGACCACCAAGAGATCTTTAACGTGCGTAACTTGCACACGGGCCCACCGAGATTTTTCGCCCTTGTCCGGAAAGGCTAGGAGCAGATCTTTCCTACCAGAAGATCAGGGGTGTGGCAGAAAGACAGCAGTAAGGAGGAGACAAGGAGTAGCAGTAGAAAGGCTGCAGAAAGAGTCAGGAGCCCAGAGGAGGGGGCAAAGGAGGTGAGGGGTGGGGGCAGAAAGAGTAGACGAAAGCAGACGACAGAACATTGCTAGAGAGCAAAAAAGGAGGTGAAAGGAGACTATTTTGGAGAAGAAAATGTTTGGTCGCTACCCGGATTTGAACCCGGGATCTTACCTCTAGGCCAGGAGAGTCCCCTTAACCTATGTGTGTTAGACGTATAGTAGCTGTTATACAATCTCTGACTATACTAAAATCATGTTCCTTGAACTTCCTTTCCGTGCCCCCCCCCCTCCCCCAGAAAAATATTAAAAAGCCGTGTGCGTCCGAAGCTGGTGTACCGTGTTGCACCGGCCCTGAACTCAGGAGAGCAAGATGGCCGCCCCTCAGTTCTGCTGGAAGCAAGCCGTGTAGGGTGACAGTCACACGCCGTGTTGCCTCGTCATGGGCTTGCCTGCTCAGCTGTTGGTAGGCGTGAAGGAACATTCCACTTTATACTATGTTTAAGGGTCATCTTACCCGTCAATTCTTCTAACACTTCTTTTTCGCTGGAAATGTATTTCTCTGCAGATGTATTGGTCATCATCAAATTGAAAGACAAGTTATTAATAGTATTTAGCTCTATCCGTGCCGTACAACCTGGGGTCATTTTGTACCCCCGGGTTATATTCTTCACATTTTAAAATACGTTTTGTACAAAGATCTCTTTGAAACTTTCAGTATTTCTCAAAAACCATTTTGACAGACTGCTATGTAAAGCGTGCGGATCGGATTAACGAGTAAATGTCCTCTTTGGAAAGTGGTGGCGCAGAGTCCCCCACGTCGTATGGATACGATAGTAAAACATGACGTACGGATAGGGTTAAGAGTCGTCATCTTAACCGTTAATTCTTCTAAAACTTCTTTTTCGCTGGAGAAATATTCTCTGCAGATGTATTAGCCATTGCCATATTGAAGGACAAGTTCTTATTTAGATCAATAATATGTTTTTACCAAACAGAGTCTAGATCAATATCTAGATGTAGTACGGTCGGGATTTCACTCTCAGCAAACATCGTACGACTATTTATTTGAAAGGTTCGGCCTGCGAATTTCAGAAAAGATTAGATCTACATGCGATCTGCAGTTTTCAATATCATAGCACTTAGTGCAGTTGAGAACTTTTACAAAATGTGTTGAAGGATTTTAAATTGTTTAAAATGGTAAATCAATTTGGTTGATAAAACAAAAACAATCCTTAATGGATAACCAAACAAATCCAAAAATAATTGCACACAGGCTTAGACTGATTCTACATGTGGGTTACGTCCCTTAGTAAAACGGATCCAGGGGTGCCTGTAGAGCAAGGTCTAAATGAGGGAAAGAGAGGGTGGGGTGGGGGGGTGGGGGTGTTGGGGTAACTTTGGAAAGGGCCTGGTAGAAGGGAGAGGGTGGGAGGGGGTGGGTGGATAGTGGAGATGAAAGCAGATGTCAGAACAGGACTAGAGAGCGGGAAAAAGAGGAAAAGGGAGAACGTTTAAGTGCAGAAATATTGTTTTGTTTGTTTATTTGGATTTTTTTGTTGTTTTTGTTGTTTTCGTTCTTGTTGTTTTTGTTTGTTCTGATTTTGGGTTTTTTAAAAATCACTGGCAGGTTTCGACCCTGTGACCTTTTGACTGAGAGGCGAACAGAGTACCTGTAGACCACGAGAGTCCCCCTTGGAAGGTTTGATCAGTGGTCTGTCGTGGCATGATGTCACTGAGGCAGCGCGAGTGACCACAACAGTAGTGGGTGTGTGACCAGAGAAGTGAGGATATGACGAAGGAGAAAGAACGAACGGTTGGACGAGGGAGGAAAAAGGAGAAGAAGAAGGAGGAGGAGGAGGAGAAGAGGATGATGAGGGGACAGAGGAACAACAACAGTTACCTGATCGACGGGTGAGTGGTGGGTGTGTGGGTGTGTGTGTGTGTGTGTGTGTGTGTGTGTGTGTGTGTGTGTGTGTGTGTGAGTGGTGGGTGTACAAGTGTGTGCGTGTACTCGGCTCGGTGGCAGTCGTTTTTTCAAGTTGTTAGCTATCCTTCAGAGTTTGGGGGGGGGGGGGGGGTAATTGACAATTTTTGGACAATTTATGGTATCCGGACCTTCCACGTTTTATAATACTCCAATTTCTTGTAAATCTAAAAAGGGCTTATTCTTTGTGTTACAATCATCACCTTTTACATTTTCTGTCCTAGAACTTTCATTTAGCCTGTTACATATCAGAAAATCGAGTTTTTTTCTCAAAACTTCTATTTTGATGTTTTTTTTCTCATCTACTTTTGTTTTGTTTTGATTCCAATGAAATGTTCAGGGTTTGTTATTCATACCATAACCTAACGTTATACAGGTGGAAAATAAAATGGATGCTTTCATGGGTGTGTTACGTGGATGAATATGTCATTGAATTCAGAGGCATGAGGGGGTAGGTGAGTTATCCATCTCTAACTTTTTTCCTATTCAAGATATTCAAAATCCCAAGGATATAAAACTTTGCATTGAGTATATCTATTAAAGTACCAAATTTGGTAGGAAAAAAAAAAATCCTATTTACTTTTATGAAAGTTGTTTATTATCAATATAGTGGTCGTTACCATGGCAACCGTAGACTTAAACAAAACAAAAATTAAAGTTGCAGTTTATATATGTTTTCCTGTTATACATCCTTGCTATAAGGCTTTATCTAAAAAGGCCATAGCTACCGAGATAGGTTTAAACCACCCCCCCCCCCTCCCGAGCGCCTGATTCCACTGTGGCGCATCAACAGCGTACTCACAATAATACCCCTCCCCCTTCCCCCACCCCCACCTTCCACGATACAGGTGTGGTAGCTATGCTCCAACTGTCCTCCGTGTCGTAATTTACTCACAATAATGCCCCCTCCCCCTCCCCCTCCCTCCCTTTCCATGACACAGGTGTAGTCAAGCTCTGCTCCCACTGTCCACCCCAATGACAGGCAACCCATTTATACCAGTACAAATGTACTCACAATAATCCCCCTCCCCCCCACCCCCCCCCCCTTCCCTCTCCTACCCCCATCCCCCCTCCCCCCTCCCCCCACGAGACAGGTGTGGCCAGCTCTGCTCCAACTGTCCACCAATGACAGGCGACCATTTATACATGTACAGATTTACTCTCAATAATCCCCCTCTCCCCCAACCCCCCTCCCACCTTCCATGACACAGATGTGGTCAACTATGCTCCAACTGTCCACCAATGACAGGGGACCAGGCAGAACAACTTCTGTGCTACGGGGCCGTGGGTGAGTCCGTCTCCTCTCGTCTCTATACACTTATATCATATAGACTTCAACATAAGTTTCAGCTCGTGAGACATGTATTTACTAATGTCCTGTCTTGTTGTGCGTATGCGTGAGTGCACCTAAGCTTTGTAACATCTGCTGCCATTGTAAACGACCAAGGCCAATTTCTTCCGGCGAGATGAATAAAGGTTGTCATTGTCATTGTCATAAGTTAAGGACCCCCTTGACAGACAGCCCTGCTTTTTAAAAAGCCTGAAAAAAAGACAGCAAGGAATGTTTCAAAATTGTTTGCTCTGAAAGTGTTAATGGGCTAACAATGCGTACTGCAACGCTTCCTAAAGGGACAAAACGACCACGTGCAGTACGAAAATCCTCGGGGAATTTTAGCCAAATTTGTTGTTTTTTATCGAATTGTGTGCGACACCACGGACATTCCTCAGTTAAAATTTCTGGTGCATGTCATAAACGGACGTACGGTCTCGAACTGTGCTCACTCTGGCGGCAATATAAGCCGCCGTTTGCGTAAATATTCAGTATCGCATTAACATGCCACCAAGACGACAGCTGCGAGACTTTGATCGTGCCAGAGCTATGGCTGGCTGGAGGACGGAGTTGGAGCCCGAAAAGTTGCCAGAAGGCTTGCAGTGTCACACTCTGTCATTGTCCCTTTGAGGCAGCGCCATCAAGCCACTTGATCAGTCCAAGAACGCCCACGTGCAGGTCGACCCAAGAAGACCACTCAGAGTGGTGCAAGTGGTCCTTAACTTATGTTGAAGTCTGTATTTACTGCTACTGTGTCTTCATTTTACACGGAAAAACCATTATTGATACTGTATCCTGGCTTGACACAGAAATACCATTACTGATTGATGCTGTTGGCCCTCCGTTGCGTGATTTGTTTTTCTTCTAAAAATGGACTTACAGGCAAAGACCCGCTTCTGAGGGCGCGAGTTGAGCAGGCCCTACTGGAAGTCACAGCCGACAAAGTGATCAAGAACTACCTGACCTCTGTCCGCTATGGCCTCCGTGACGTCATGGACCAGCTGCTGGAGGCGATACGCGGGAAGTTCTCCGTCGTCTGCCAGACTCAGGAGTTCCTCACTCTGCCCCTGGGGATTGTCAAGGTAGGAGAGTGGGGATTGTTAAGGTAGGAGTGTGGGGATTGTCAAGGTAGGAGAGTGGGGATTGTCAAGGTAGGAGAGTGGGGATTGTTAAGGTAAGAGAGTGGGGATTGTCAAGGTAGGAGAGTGGGGATTGTCAAGGTAGGAGAGTGGGGATTGTTAAGATAGGAGAGGCTGGCAGGGACTTTCTGATGAAGTTACTATTTTATGTCTTTTGGTGTGACGATTCTGAAAACATAACAGATGATTTTCTTGGAGGATCGTAGGGTGGTATGAAATAATGTTGATTCCACAAGCACAAGACTGTAAGTGTGTGTGTGTGTG